ACACGCTTTGAATGGCGTTTACCTTGCCTGATTGTACCTCGTTGCAGTTTGACAGACATACTTTACCCTACGTGCCAGGAAACGCCTACTCACTTGCTGCACATATCTTCATGTATGAAATTGTGTACATGTGACTATAATGGAACTATATGTTGCTAGTGTTCTCAGGCAGCGACGTAGTCTGATGAATGCTCTGCAGTGGGGTGTGACACACGAGTTCTGCTGCAGAGTCCGAATATGGGAAGGAAGCTCCTGGAGAGGACAGCTAGTATCCAGTTGTATATCGAGATTTCTGGCATATGAAGCTCAGCTTCCTGTTGCAGGTGCTGCGAGCGGACGGTTAGGCTGGAACTGCAATCTTCTTATCTGTGTCTCCTGCTGGAAATTATCCCTTCTTAACGAATCCAATAACCTTCTAAACTTGTTCACTTGAAGGGTATAGAAGGGCTCAAGGCCTATTATAGCTTTATGGAAGGCGTGCACCCAGTTGCAGAAAAACTGGCCTGCATACTTCCAATCCTGGGCATTTGCAGAGAAAAACAGTTGCTAAAGTGACCTGGATGACCATCATGGCAAATCGCATTGTGGGTCAGGCATTGTGCCGCTTGTGTGAAGTCTTTGAAATACAGTGAATCTATATACAGCGAACCAACTTAATCACAGCCAGCAGGCCTCATCATTATTGTACATTACTCCGCGTTTTCCTCTGGCGCCCTTCTGCCTTCTGCAGGCGCTCCTGAGGTGCTGACAATTGCTCACGATAACGGGCAACCGTGGGAGCGAGAGGATGGCGGCCAGTATTCACATTGAAGTTCTGGTCCTATTAGTGTGTGCATTGATTGCAAGTCTGCCTGAAGTGGGCAAGTGAAAAGGAAAGGCTGTCGAAACCGCAAGCCGTCACGAAGATGGATTGCTAGAAAGCGCACACAACAAAATAACATTTGAGTCTAATGCGAGGAGCGGCTGAATAACTTCAAAAGGTGAGGATCATCCTACCAGGGAAGTGCTGGAACGGTCTTATTGGTCACGTACGCGTTTGCGCTGTCGTCGCCTCCATGCCCGCACTAACGCAGGACGGCCTGCAAGGTGGTGAACCGGTTCTCATGTAGCTAACTATTCTGGTGCGCCTCGCCATTTACCGAGACAACAAGCGGACACTCCAGTCCCTCGCTGGTCTAGTATACAGTCTACATCATACTGATCCGTAGGGTTTCTGGTTTCATCACGAGTAGGGGGCCAGCCTCCGGGTGCTTCCTGAGGAACTTGATCTAGAATACGAGGGTGGTGAGCGACCAGTTGAGATAGATAAAAGACGTCGTGCCCCTCATAAGTGGGAGGTAGGGCAAGGCGATAAGCCACTTTACCGGTACGTACAGTGAAGGGGTCTCCGTATCCGGACACTTGGAGTATGCCTCTGGCCAATCTAAAGGGAAGCAGAATGGCTGCGACTGGTTTGTCTGAGGTGGTTCCGTCAGCGGCGAGTCCTCCCGCTGTGGGTCTACTGGGGGTGGACCCACGGGATTGGAGCTGCAAGGCTTAGTTGGCAAACGGCTCTCCTGGTTGAGAGGCAGCAGTACAGGAAGCAGCAAAAGTAGCGGTAGTGACGCCCTTTGCACACAGGTTTTTGAAGGCATACGACTGTGGAGTTTTCCGTCAAAAGGAAAAACAGACACGAGAAAAACGTAGGCCTTCAACGGAGAAGGGGCTGCTGCGGCGGCTCTCTTGTTGCACGGCCGACGCCGAGGCGCCCTTTCGGCCCCTTACATTATAAACCTTATTTACAAAATACATTTTAGGTTCTTCCCATCAGATATAGCAACACGACGATGCACCTTGTCTTTCAGTGACGCGCAACAAACGGGCAAGGCAGCCCATGCCGTGTGCAGCTGGTGGAGCTTGCCTTCTCCTCGCAATGCCGTGTTCATCCCACACGCTGAATGCAGCATCCCCATGCGTCTGCCTCAACAACAGCCGTAGCTAAGCTCGATATCTCTAGACAGCCGGAGGCTCGCATCTGGTGCACCAGCACAAGCTGCAGTGCGCAGCCGTCCTTAGCGGTGCCTACTAATAATCAGGAGTGTCTGACTTCCTAAGTACAACCTCTAACTACATGAATTCCCAGAAGTCCATCCTGGGAGTACCAAACACATTCGGGTCTCAATTATTAACAAGGGAAGTTCATAGAATAAAAGAACTGTGTGTTCGGAACTGACCCCTGCCTTCACGGGGGGTCAGCGCCCAACCTGTAAGATGGCGGGGAGATATCAACAGCGACGACACAGTCAGGAGCCTGACCTATAACCGCTATCCACCAAAATGTCATATTCACAGACACAGTACTCCTATACAATAGAAATTCTATTTCTTTCCCATTTAGATCTCTAAAGGGCTTATCTGGCACCCAAGTAGTAACTAAGCATTGCGCTACACTGTCTATATGGGTGACTGGCGGGGTAATCCTACTAACCTATGGCTCTATCTACGGTAATCGATTCTGTGTGTTCAGAACTGACCCCTGCCTTCACGGGGGGTCAGCGCCCAACCTGTAAGATGGCGGGGAGATATCAACAGCGACGACACAGTCAGGAGCCTGACCTATAACCGCTATCCACCAAAATATCATATTCACAGACACAATACTCCTATATAATAATAATTCTATTCCGTTCCCATTTAGATCTCTAATGGACTTACCTGGCATCCAAGCAGTAACTAAGCATTGCGCTACACTGTCTATATGGGTGACTGGCGGGGTAATCCTACTAACCTATGACTCTATCTACGGTACTCGATTCTTAGAACATTTGGCACCATTAATTACCTTTCTTAGTTGCTAATGTCATAATCATTCTCTTTATGGTGAATGAGCTACTAGAAATCACACGAGAGCAGCATTGTAGTGCCTGTGCACTACAGAGGCTGTCGTACGGCTTCTGTGCGTTATTTGCATGCATTCTGTTCGACAAAAGTGAAATTCTGGGGTTGTGAGCAGTTGGTTTTATTAAATTGCGGTTATATTTAGCAATTGTTATTCTTTGAAGAGATTTGCTCTTTAAAGTCAACGTTTTCAGCGGTCTCGGTGGTCATTCCCTCTCCCTGCCTGCTTAAAAGACACGAGCACCGACCGCAGCGCAGGTGAAAATCCAAACTTCTACCTCACTTTTTGTCTCATGCAGTTGAACTAAGGTCGCCTATTTGCTTCGTTTTTCGATTTCTCGACGTAGCTGACTCCGCAGCAAGATGGCCCCGAGCTTCCAATGTTCTCCCCGTTGGGTGCTGTTGGTGTTCCTCTTGCTCGTATGTTTGGGGTGTATCAACACCTGCGCATTTGAGGCATCTATCGACTTGGGTCCTGCTCAGAGGCGCTGCATTGGAGAACAGCTCAGCAAACATGTGTTGATTGTGGGGGAGTTCCGCGTGTCTCACCCTGCTGCTACAGTGCCCGGCGGCGCTGCAACGGGGCCCCTGTTGATGCATGTGCACGTGACTGATCCTGCAAACAAGACTCCTGTGTTTCAGCAGAGCAGCAGGGACCGCATCAAGACCGGCTTCACGAGCACCAAGCCCGGTGTGCACATGTTCTGCGTGAAGAACTTGTCGCAGCAGCAAATTACTGTAGACGTGCAGCTTCTGTGGGGCCCAGCAGCACGCGACTACAGCCAATTGGCAAAGGCAGAACACATTGACGAGGTGATGCTGCAACTGCTACAGCTCCAAGACAAACTGAAACTTTATCACAACAACATCCTATTCATGAGAGAGCGCGACGAACAAATGCGGCAGCAAAACGAGCAAACCGCCACACAGCTGATTCTATTCTGCGGTGTCAACATCTTTCTGCTCGTTGCCTCAAGCGTAATTTCAGGTTTCTTCTTCAAACGCTTCTTCCGCTCCAAGAAGATCATTTGAACTTAAGCTGCTACAACATCACCATGAAGTCAAGCCAGGACGTCGTGTCAGAATTATAATCTGCGCCGAATGCAGATCATATGTTTTGCTACTTCTGTTGCATATACACGGGACGCGTCTCTACCGGCTTCTTATACAGACGAACTTCGCTGCAATCCCCACGCGCTGTTCGCCCTCAACAGCTCGGGTGTACATCTAGAATCCGTGCACGTACATACACCGAGAACTTCGCATTGGCTGGTCCCGGTGCTGTGCACACTTGTGCTGCTGCTGCCATCTCCTTCTGTCTGCTGTGCGGCATTTGTGTATCGCCGGTGGCTTATGGTGAAAGTGTTGATGATGTACATGGTTGCTATTATTTCATCTTGGTGTACAGGCATTCGTTGCAGTGTACTTCCAAGCAAGGCACAGAGAGGCGAAAAGAGCAAGAGAACATCTGCTGCGCCTCGTGTGCAACACATTTTCTTTGCAGCAGACGTTTGAGTGTTAAACACACCTAAATATGTTCAGGTGTACGTATACCTCAAGCAACGCATCTGTTTCAGTGTGACAAGACAGCTCGGAATGCAATTCGTGCAGCGTAATCTTAAGAAAAAATTAATTCCCTGCATGCATGCATGCGTATATGCAGTGGCTAGCATGTGCATGGATTGAGGTTTATAGGCATGCATTGAGGCCTATGGGGATGTATTGTGGGCTAGTGTATGTAGTTGTTTAGGGCGGAATGCTTTGGAGGGGATTCTACTATTAATTGCATTTCCGGGTGTGAGCTGCTATCGCAGCTCACAACGATCCCCGAGCAGCGCTGTAGACGATCACAGCAGTCTTCTAGATACTCGAGCACGCACAGGCCACATATGAAACCGTTCACATGAAGAGAAGGACAGTAATACCATGACTGTTGTTGACGTAGAATTACTGCGGTCAATTTCCCCTTGGTTTTTTTTCTATGCTTGTGGGTCTATGCTTGTGGGTCTGTCTAGTGCACAACACTTGTTTTGTGCCAAAAATTGATACTCCTTCAAAACAACTACGGACGGTGCTTTTCCCGAGTGTCTTGAAAATCCCATCTGTTGGTTTCTCCGTTGTAGTAGCATTGAACGTCTTTTACGGCTTCCTCTTTCAGTGGGGTTTCCTGGAGTAAGGCTAGCTTTCTCAAGCGATAAACACATTTTCTTCTCAATTAACGTTATTATAGCGCAGTTTACATTATTCCAAGTTGAAGGAGATATTGGGTCTCGTTTTTGGTTTAGTCGGATTAACACCGATTTATCACAAATAAAGGCTGACAGGGGGGTGACCTCCAGCCTCGGCAAGGTCGGCAGAAGGGGTGGGAGAAGGCGGCCTGTAACGAGCATAACGTAATAATATATGGTAAATATACGTTCGAATAATAAACTTAGTATGATTTTCATTGATATATTTTCATTGATATACTTTCCTGCTCACGATAACCTTCACTCGATTTGTGGGACCACGCGTTTCAGCCATGCATGTGAGCCAGCTGCGGATGTTGTGTCTGCGCAGCAGTCTCGTTATAGCGCAGAACGATAAACAAGGAAAGAACGTCACGCCAAAATATGAATATATAAATTATATGTTTAAAAAAATGAACAGAAGCCTCCCCTCCGCAAGGCGCTTTTCATTCTTCCCATATACTACGGAGCTCAACACACGAAAGACGCGCCGCGTTTAGATGCGTGGAATTTAGGGTTTAGGTTGATTGTTTGAACTTTGTATTATTTATTTTCCTTGCTTTCTCCCCCCCTCTTCTTACCCCGAATGCCTCCTTGAGCTCTGAAGAAGGAGCCGTTTCTGCTCACTAGCGGCGTTGGCGTGTCCATACACCTCGTCGTAGGAAGCACGAAGCGGGCAACAAATCAGCGAATAAGAGAACCATATAGTAGAACTATATTGAAAACAAATGAAAACACAAGATAAGATATAATAACTAAATAAGGGAAAGATCTAAGACCCATAGCTTCCACCCTCAGCCATCTGCCCGGAAAACAGTCAAATGCATAAACAACCAAACAAGCACTCGAGCAAGAACGAACGAACAAGCCTACCAACAAGTGAAATCAAACGCTTATTTATTTTCTTAAACTTTCCAGGAAAATGGGGAATTTGTGTCAACACCATAAGAAACAGTTAGAGCTGGAGGCGGATATTTGCTTCCTTTTTTCTGACACCTACAGACAGAACGGCATTAAAATTCAACAAGAGACAGCCGCCCAGTGCCCCCCGCGACTTACAGACAAAGACTGGTGTGTGCGGCTGCTGCTATGACAGCTGCTCTTGCGGCTCCTCTTCCTTGTTACAATGCTATCGCTGTTTCTTCTTCTTGCGTCTCTCGAAGTTAATGATGCGGGTGCCAACGCTGCTGGTATTACTTCTGCTGCTGGAGTCTTGTTGCAACTCCACCATATTGTATTTCTGCCGCTATTGAAAAGGGTATTGCTCTCAAAGCGCTTACTCCTTCACCAACTCCTTTTGGTATCGTAGACGTCTGCCTAATTCTTAGTTTGGCTATTGCATCTACTTCCGCCTAATGCTTCTCCTGATACGTTCTATGCTTCCTGCAAACACAACCTTGCTCATCAGCAGCAGTAGTTGCAATACGAGGAACACCACGACCAGTGGCAAGAACAACGAGTATGTGGGGTTTGTTCAGGGCTGAAGTTATGGATAAGGGCCCTTCCCAATGGCGAATGCTGGTACCTAAATCTTTACAAGAAGAAGAGGCAGCAGCAGCCGCAGCAGCAGCACCAACAGATTGTGTGCAAAATGACAAGCGCCACCGGTGGAGCACCATGGGGGGGTCAAATGCTCCTACAGAAGTGCAGATTGAGGGAGTTTCTGTAAACCTAAAAGAATTGTTATCTCCTCGCACTATGGCTGCTAGTGCTGCTACGTCTCCTGTTGATCCTCCTCCCGGTGCAGCAGGTGCAGAAGCAGCAGCGACGGTAGACTCAGCAGCGAGTCCAGACGCGGCAGGAGCAACTGTCACAGCGTCAACGCCAGCAACAGCAGCTGCAGAAGCACGAGCAGCAGCAGGCAGCACCAGTTGTGGGCGTTGGTGTCAGGTGGAGACACAACAGCGCGGCTGTTGTGTGGTCAGTTTCAACACAATGTGCTATCTACTGGAGCAACTGCAGCAGGCAAAACCAGAGGCCCTTCAAACAGCAACCATGTCTCCGGTTCTCCCCACCTTCAATCAAAGACCTGAGGAAGTCCATCAGGCAGTCCTCGTACAGGCCGAACCAATTGTTCTCCAGTCCACTCTACCCCTCCCGCAGCAGGTAGGGCTTAAGCGTTAGGGCTTGGGGCTGGCGTGCGCAGGGAAGGTAGGAATGGAACTATAGTCTAGAGGCGCATAACTTGCGGTTTTATGGATTCATGCTTAGAGTTGAGGGGCTATTGATTAACGTGAAGGGCCAGGATTTATTCGTACGGAGAGGAGGTTAATTGTTAGACTCTACAGTTCAACAGCTAGGGATTAAGTTCTCGAGATTATGAGTTAGCTTCCAGTGTCAAGGTGTTTGGATATCTAACCCCATTGGAAACCTGAAATCCTGCCCCCAATAACCTCGCCGTAGCTATGCGGGACAGTGTTTCAGGTTTAGATTGGGTTTCTAAACCTTGCGCGTGCAGGGTTTAGTGTTTAGCGCCTAGGGTGTGAAGTGAGGGTTGCCGCGGAACCATTTATCTCGACATTGTGGCGTCGCTTTAAAGTCTATAGCTTACACCCTAGACTTTAAAGCATAATCCCTATCTCCTGGCAGCCAGGCACTGAACGGAGAGAGGGAACGCAGGAGGGGCCACCGAGGCTTTAGTGGTCATATTATAGGGTTTAGTGTTTCGTGTCTGTTGGTGGGTTGTGTGTAGGCTGAGGTGTACTGCGAGGTTGAGTTGTTGTCGTACACTCCTTTCAAATCATACATTGCCATTGGAGTTGCAGCTGCTCCTTATCCACCTCACCATCTTCCAGGCCTCCTCCCGGGTTCCTGCGCCCTCCTTTCCACAGGTAGGGCTTGGGTTTTAGGGTCTAGGGTTTAAGGCTAGGTGCTTAGGGTTTACGACATACGGCTTACTTTTGAAGGTATTGGAGCTTAATTGTTTAAATTGTAAGGTCAAGTGCGTAAAGTTTAGGGTTAGGGTTTAGAGTGCTCTGTTCAGGCCAGGTGTTTAAGGGGGGCCCTGTCTCTGCTGCAGATGGTGACGTGCTGATGGTGAGTTTTCGGCCATGCTCCGGTTGTCGCGTCCCTCACACTTCTCTAAGCACTACACGCTCAACTCTAGCTCGGAATCTGAGAAACAAGTGTGGTTATATTCTGAGGATTTCTACGTGAATTTCACGCTGCTTCATTGGACACCGAAAGTCTGCTACGGCGGATTTCGGGTTCAGAATTTGGGGTTGTATCTGTGCCGATATGGTAACTGCTTTGGATTTGCGCTGCTGCGTGTAGGTACGGGCGACTGTGTATATGTCATTGTTTGCTAGGGCTAGGGTTTAGGGCTTAAGGCTTGGGGTCTTCTGTTTAAGCTTGTGGGGAGGGACAGGTGTTTGGCGTTGAGCGATTAGGCGTCAAAGTTGGGTTTTGCGGTTTGTGCGGTGGTGCAACCAGATAGGAAAACATGTTCGCAGGAAGGGTCTAGTGTATACGATTTGGATCGTAGGTTTTGCGTGCGTGCGCCTAGGAGGGGGACGTTATAGGGTGTTTGTTTTGTCGCAAGTCCGGCCGGGTTCTGTTTTTCTTGAATGGGGACCCAAAGTGGACGGTGCCGTGTGAGGAGATTTTGCTCCCTGAGACGGGCGGCGAGGGTTCACTGGGCTCGCTTTCTCCTTTGGGATCGCCTCGGGATCATTTCCGTAGGCGTTCGGAATCGTCGAACGGTGACTACTTCTCCCCTCGTGATATGTACATCACCTTGGGGGTTTTAGGGAAGGGGGAGCTGGAGATCAACTTTGGAGGGAAGAATTTTAACCTCAGCGGAGAAATCTCGAGAGTCTCTAAAGGCATCGTCCTTTCTACAGCCCCGATCGCAGCCAGGGCCTTTGGCTACAGACTCGCAAAGTTCCACGTCATGCTCGTAAGCCTGAGAGTTGCGGGCGTGGGCTATGGGGATGAAGATTAGGTGTTTAGGTTTGGGCTGTTGGGATTTAAGCTCGGAGTTTGGGGCTGGCGTGTGAGGTTCTGGGCTTGTGGTTTACGTTTTATAGTTGGGGTTTTGTGTCAAGGGTTCGAAGCCTTGGGGTTATGGCTTGGGCGTGTTTAAGGTTTATCTGGCAGGATGTAGGGCTTGTGTCTTGTATGCAGGACGAGCTAAAACTCTTCTACTCCTGCTTTAACCCTCCGATGGTGCCAAAGGCAAAGGGAATGGTTGTTTTAAACATCTCCAGGCAAAAGGTACATCTCGTTCCCCTCCGGTTTAGATATTAGTGTTGAGAGACTACGCTTTAGGGTTTAAGGATTGTTGCTCAGGATGCCAATCTGAATTTAGTTTAGGATAAAAATTGAGAGATGCCAGATTTAGGGTTTATGGTGCATGGCTTAGATTACGTTAGGGTCTCAGGTTTGGGGTTTACGGTTCGGGGTTTAGAATGTTGGTCATGCAGGAATTTAATGAAGAGCTAAAGGAAACATACGGCAAGGACTTGACAGACGTCGCACAATATGCCCGTGATAGTGAGCCGAACACAGGCGGCAAACCACAAGCAGTAGATTCTACACCGAAATTCCGAATTAAAGCCTTCGCTCGATGTCTTTTATCCAGGCAAATACTAAACTCTCAAACATGATACCAGACTTTAAAATTCACACCTCCCTTATTCGTCAGAGCCAAGCACACCACCGAGGTTTAGGCTTAAGGTTAAGGGTCTCGGACGTAGGGCGTGTAATTCAGTCAACAAACGCAAACTAACCAACTTTTTCCGGCAACACGACATACGCCGCCTGTCACAAGTCGACCGCATTTTCGAAGACTTCGATGGCGACGTAATTCCTATCTCTTAAACCTGAAAGCCTAATCCTCTGCGGTTCATCTGGTGTTGTAGTTCGTTTCGGCTTGCATTGGACTTGGCATTGCTCAATGCTTTGCCTGTCCCAAGACTGGAGTTTGTTGGCAACGGCTATGGGTTCGAATTTCGCTTCTAAGGTTTACAATGTAGAGTTTAGGATATAAGCTTTGTAGAGCCTTGATTTGATTTGTCTTTAGTCGTGGAAACTTAACGAGTTTTTGAGGAAGACTTATGGCAATGACATGTCAAACTGCTCCATCCGGCGCAAGCAAAGTGACTTCACACAAAACATCACTAGCGACCGGGACGCAACGAGCAGACTTCAATGAAACAGTGGAGGCAACGAGCTAAGCATTGGTGCTTCAGAATGTGGCCCGATGGTTGCAGGGGTTAGGAACCACTAGCATCTGAGTTAGAGGGGTTTGGGTTCAGGGTTTGCTCTCAGGCGTTGAAACGATGCTGATCGAATACTTCGACGTGGTAAAAAAAAGGCAAGACTTGGTCAAAATCGGAGTGAGCCTGACTCTACAATTTAGTTCATGATTTAGGGTTTAGAACTATATATAAAAGTGTAGTATACCCCGACCGCCCCTCTTCAAGGAAGAGGGGCGGTCGGGGTATACTACACTTAGTATTAAATATCTACAATATATATTACTTATAATCGATATGACATTTGTACTTCTGGACATTGAACAAGACATACGGACAAAAGCATCTACAATCTACTGCATACATTAAATACACGATGGTGGCGTGCGTTATATATCCATGGAAGTCGCCACTATCGTGCGCGTGTGCTCATGTGAAGGCTTGTGCTTGTTTTATCCTGATCAACACACAGCAGAAACGCTGGAAGCCATTTTGAACGTTCAGTCACCGTATAACTGCCCGCACGCTTATCAATATATAAGCCTGGCTTTTTATGTATTTTTTTTAACGAGCGATGTAGCTGTCCTTTTGTACAGGCTGTTGCGGATCAAGCCCTTCTGCGCCCAGCAACGGTGGACTCCTTTTTAAGAGACCGATATAAAAAGGGAATTAATGTTCTCTTAAAGGTAATAATCCCTGCTGTGTATGAAATTCGTTTTCTAGTTTGGCTTTACGCGCACACGCACTAGTGTAAAGGCAAGTTCTCCAAGACGTTCTCTGGTATGTAATAGACACTTCAGCAGACACAAACCCATATATATCATTGGGTCCTACAGCAATAGTAGGGGAATCCTTCTCATCTCAAATTTCTGATTTTGCAGTTCTACAGTTGAGCTGCTGCTACACCTAAGCAGCAATAACCTTGTCGGCTCAGGACATATTAGGTAGCAGTAACATCCCTAGAAACCGCAAGAAACCCGCAGACAAACAAGGAGGTGCTTGTCCTTATACATAAACCGGTGGATCGCTATTTCCGTCTAACGCGCATGCTGAGTCAAATCCACAGGGGCACATAAATCTGGACTCAGTACAGGAATTCAAAACCTTCAGATCTTACTTTCTTACACTCTAGCTCAGCGTTCCGTGGCTGCAGTGTAGGCGCGCCCCAGAATCAATCCTAACAATATGTCTCCTCTCTAAAAAGGCCTACGAGAACCTGAGCATTCATGTGCACGCACGTGGTGATGGCTGGCATCTAACTAGCTTTGAAGGCAACTTGATAGCCGTCTAGCTACCTAGATAGATAACCAGGCAGCGTCGGCGATCCATGGGATCTCCTGCTAACAGCAGCGCAATCGAGACGGCGCATCATCCTGTTGTGTCCCGTTGCTTTTGTTTTGCATGAGAGCCCCAACTGTGTTAATCGTTGTCGCTAGTGTCCTTGTATTAGGGTATACCGCTCTGGGTTTACGTTGCAGAACCGCCTTCGGCAAATGTATGAATTGTATTCTCCTGAAAGCCTGAAGGAAGTTGATTCCGTTGCAGAGAAATATCCTCGTGAGTTTAGTGCGTACTGTGGAGAGCCTAGGGCCCACTTTGACTACTGTCATTTCTCCTTTGTTCGGGTGTATCGGCACCTTTTGTTTATTCGCTTTAGTTCAATTCTGGTGTTTTTGTTGCACTCGTTCATTAGCATCAGCTGAACTGTGTCTGTTGGCCTTGGTCGTCTGAGTTTATGAGCACTCTTTTTTTGTGGGCTTTCGTTGCGTTCTTGCACGTCCATCAGGTTAGTTCCGTGTATTGTTCGTGTTCGTGCTGGTTTATTCCAGCTCTTTGGATGTTTTTTTGGTTTATCTAGCGTTAGTTTGCTTGTGCTGTTGGTTTTGGTTTGCGTTTAGTGTTTGACGACGCCTTTGTGCTATCCCTGAAGATGCGCATTCGCTACGGTATCGATCTTGACTCGTTCCCTCCTTTCGAAGTGGTAGAGACAGAAATCCAGAAGAGGGAGATCGAGGGCATCGTCGGGATTGCCCCAGCAGTCGACCCGGCGATTGTCTCCCCAATTGAGCTCCTCGATCAGGAAAAAGAATCGTCAGAATTTCCTGAACTCGAGTCCACGCGCAGCAGGAACTCCCGCAGCCTCATTCTTACCCGTCCCTTCCGCCAGCAGCAGCAGCAGCAGCAGCAGCAGCAGCACAGCAAGTTGTGGGCGCTCCGAAGCAGATCGCGTTTATCTATTCACGATGAAGCCTCTGAAGACTCAGTTACTGCTTCTCCTTGGGGTAATACAAAAAGGACGGTTCCCTCGTCTCAGCAGCAGCAACTGGGAGCATTTGAAGCCTCTGCTGCTGCTGCAGCCAGCAACGGCTATGCAGCAGAGCCAGGAATTTCTAAGCAAAGTAACCCACGAAGGTACACGAAGACCCTAACGCAGCAGCAACAGCAGGAGCAACAGCAGCGCAAAGAAGAGGAACAAGAAGAGCAACGCCAGTTGCAACCGGCGAAGCACCAACAAAACCAGGAGCCACTGCAGCGGCAAAGGCAAGATAAACAACAGCAGGAGCAACAGGAGCCACAGCAGCAGCAGCAAGAACCACAGCACCGACAGCAAGATCAACAACAGCAGCAGCAACAACAGGAGCAACAACTGAAGGAGCAGCGGCACGATAAACAACAGCAGCAGCAGGGGCCACAGCAGCATCACAAACAACAGGACCCACCGCAACAACAACAGCAAGACCGCCATCAGCAGCAACAGCAAACGGAGCCCCAGCAACAGCAACAACTCCATAACCCACATAAGCAGCAACAGCAGCAGGGACTGACCAAGCAGCAACACCAGGAGCCACACCAGAGGCAGCAACAAGAGGCGCGGCCTGAGAGACAGCAACCAGATGGGGGGGAACAACAGCAACGGCAAGAACAGGAGCGAACGGAGCAAGGGTCGCCACAAGAACAAATGCAACAGCAGCAGCAAGAACACCCGCAGCAACAAAGGAAACATACAAACGAACAGCAGCCAACGCAACAACAAAAGCAAGGCCAACAGCAGGAGCACGGCGGCGAGGGAAAAGTCAGCGACGATATGGCAAGAAGCGTGCCTGCAGCTGAAAACCCTCCAGCAAGTGCCGCTAAAACAGCACCAGCAGAAGCTGCCGCAGACGAGAGTGGACAACGAGACACAGAAGCAAGAGAACCTACTCCAGCAGCAACCGCAACGGACACAGATGCAGCGGGGGAAGCAGATGGAGGTTTGACACCAGAAGATTCGATGGTCCGAGCCACTGCAGAAGCAGCCGCTGACCTTCTGTCTTTCCTTGAGCATGTTCCCACTGCTGCGGTAGCCGAAGTAGCAGAACCACTGCCAGAGGACCCAGCAGCAACAGAAGTAGCACCGGCGATGGCAAATGCGCCACGGGAGGCGTTGCCAAGACCAAAGCACGAAGAGGCAAATATCGACGAACAGCAGCAACAGAAAAAGCACCAGCAACAACAGCAGGAACATCGGGAGACGCAGCAACATCAAGAACAACAGCAACAACAACAACAAGAACAGCTTCAGAAGCAGCAACAGCAGGAACAGCTTCACCAGCAGCAACAGCAAGGGTCGCCCCAGCTCCAGCAGCTACGAGAACATCAGCATCAGCAGCAACAGCAACAACGAGAACATCAGCAGCAACTGGAAGAACATCAGCAACAACAACAGCAACGAAAGCATCAACAGCAACAGCTCGAACAGGACCACCAGCAGCAACGGCACGGACGGCAGCAGGGGACAGAACAAGAGCAAGAGCAGCAGCACACAGAGCAAGAACCGCTGCAGAAACAGAAAGAACAGTATCAGCAGCAAACACCGCAAGAACAGGAGCTGCAGCAACAACACGAACAGCTCCTGAGGCAGAAGCAACAGCACGAAGAGCAGCAGCAACAGCAGCAGCATACGGATCCACAGAGGCAGCTGCAACAGCATGCGCAGAAACAAAGAGGAGATGAACCGCAGCAAAAGCAGCACGAGCAACCACAGAACCCGGGCCAGTACCAGCAGCAACAGCAGGAGGTTCAACAGCCACAACAACATGAACAGCAGAGCGAACAATGGCAGAGGCAGCAACCGCAGCCGGAGATGCGGCACGAGCAGCAGCAGCAATAGCAGCAACAGCAAAACAGCAAAATGCGACAGCAAATAATGCTGCAATGGACTACATGCACCAGAAGCGAGCCGCGGTCTTCTTTTTAAGCAGATGCGGTGACAGCATCAGCAGCTACGCTGAGAAAAGAGGAAAGGGATCTAAAACGCAAATGTCATTTTTTGGTCCGTGAGGTACAAAGAGCAACAGCAATTGCTGCGGTTGCTGCTGCTGTTGTTATTCCTCCTGCTACTGCAACTGTAGCAACAGCAACGCCAGCAGAAGCTGCAACAGCAGCAGCAGCTGAGCGCTTCGCTGCTGGCAAGTGGAATTTTGCTCGTCTCAGCATTGCTTCCGCATGCTCTTTGAGGCATTTGTCTTTGTGTATACTCCGATTCTGTTCGCCTCCTCCTCTCCGTCCCCCATTTTGTCTCCTTTCTTCTTCCTCCTTTTCTCCCCCTTCCTTCGCCAGTTTGCCCCCCCCCCCCCG